TTAAAATCTGTAATTTCTGTGATGTGTCTAGCCATAATGATGTGAGTAATCTGAACGGTTTTTTATATTGACACATAATTTTTTAGAAATCAAAGTAGTTGTAGCTGATAGAAAATCTGTGATAAATAAGAGGATGATAGATTTTATTTTTCCCAAATCAATAGATTTAAAATTTCATTTAAGATATGTAATTAAATAAAAGGTTTTTTTCATGATTTTATTGGTACCTTGGTCATATCTTCCCATTATTGTGCTGTCATCTAAAACAGCCCTTAAGAAGCAGTATTGCACAGTTTTGATATGTAAATAACCTGAGTTTGGTTTGAAATAATGAACCTATTAAAAAACCCCAAACCAACATCTATAAATAATTTTCTCTAGCTTTCTCACTGAAGTCTTGAATGTTAAATCACTCTTTTTTAAAAAATTCAAAATAAAATCATAAAATTTCATTTAAAGATTTTATTTAAATAGGAAGGTCTTTTAAAATAACATCAGTTGCCATGAAATACTTAGAAAGTGGGAAAATGTTTTTTTCCCTTAAATGTATTTTTATACAGATGTGCATAATGGGGTGTTTTGCACACTGTGCCATGAGTAGCAGTGACCCCTGTATTTCAAAACTGGTGTAATAGCAACCAGGTAGTTACTATTGATTTGTGTTAATTGCTGAATGTCCAAGCAGTGATTGTTGTAGGTACTGTATATACGGTGTTAAAAATCTTTCCATCCTTGCTCTGACTCCAGAATTAAGATTACTGCTTGTAATAAGGCAATAAATGATCAGCTTTGTATTTTCTCCAGTTAAAAATACTAAATTACTAACATTGTGCTCGTCTGCTCTCACCAGATTAAAAAAAGGAAAGAGTCTGGCAATAAATACATTTATTTTCTGTACAAAGCAGTAATGATTCTCCTTGCATTCTTCCAAATTCTCCCAAATTCTGTCACTCAATAATATGTTGCTCTTGTCAGCATAAAAGGGTCCCAGATGGACACGGCAATTCAGCTGCGGATGCATCCTTCCTTCATTTATATTGTTTAATAAGCTGATACTGTGTCTTCAGTCAGTACTTTCTGTCAGGTTCATGTGTGTTCTTTTTAAAGCAGTTCTAATTTCACAGATAAATCTCTGTTTGAGCTGTCAGAGTATTCATTGTGCAAGACCAACTTTGCAACACTCCCAAGGCAAAGCAATTAAAACTCTGCATTTCCCTTAGGCCTTCTGGATCCTAATGGCTGTTTATATTTTCTGTGAGGGTGATGGAAAAATGAAGAGATAGATTTGCTCAATACAGAGCAGAAGCATTAAATGATACTGACCTTCTTTAAAAATGCGTGTTTTGTTATGCTGAATGCTTTCTTATCCTTTCAAACCTTGTTTGGCATGGCAGCTTGTTCTGTCCTTGCAGATAAAAAGTGGTTCTGTGCTAATAAAGAGTTAGCAGCTTTCTAAGATCTAGTGAGAGAAAGAAACTTTCATTTGCAGTTGTGCTGGCCATGGGAGATTGTAATTGCTATGGCTTGTGGCAAATTTGTTTGCATGAGAATATATCCACATGGGTGATTCAGAGTTAATTTTAGCTGTTGGTGAGGCCCTGAAAGCTTTACACATTTTTTCTTTTTAGTGATGTCCAAGGTTCTCTTGTTTTACAGTTCCAGTGCTTCCTCTGTGAAATTGAGGCATGTGCATGTGACAGTTGGTTTTCATGAAGACAGATCACTGTCTGTGCAAGGTTAAACCTCAAGTCCATGAGTTTTGGCAGCCGCATCACTCAGAAATGGCAAAAGACCATCACCTCTCAGTCCCTTGGCTGTCTGTCTTGTCAAAAGCTTTTCTGGAGCATATTATGTCATTTAGAATGTCTTTATAATGAGTATGCAGAAGTAATTTGACCCAGGTATAACTGCTACAGAAACCACAAAGAAGAGAAATTAGATTGAAGCTACACTGTTGAAGAATGTGGATGAGAAAGGGATATGAAAAGCAGACTTCGTGATTTTCCTATAAGGAATGACAGTTTCCAATAAGTAATATCTAGAAATGAGGATAGGCCTGTAATTCATACATGCTGAATATCCAGTGATCATATGTGCTTGAATACAAACTGTAGAAGCTCAGACCTTCTGAAAAGTATCTGTTAAATAAAAATAAACCTTGAAGAGTCCAAAGCCTAATTTTTAAGCATTTGAAGCTGGAGGCAGAATTTTAAAAGATCATAACTCCAACTAGGGCACGCATATCAGGACCAGATTTTCAAATACACTCACCAGCACAGTTCCCATTGTGACACCTACGACCCAAATTTTAAAAGACTTTGGCCCTCAGCATGCTTAGGTCTTTTTAAAATTTGTCTACAACTGTGTAGATGTAATAGAACTTCTTTCTCTGAAGTATAAATATCTAAACCCAAGAATGGAGTGAAAGCTCATAGAGAACTTTCCTCAGATTTTTTTGAGTGAGTGAAATTCAGTCTTCCATTCTTGTATTATTCTCTCACTCACCTGAGGATACCTGAAGCTACAGAGAAACTCATGAGTACTGGGATAAATAAGATTCAAGGAGATTATGTAAGAATAATTATGCATTCATCTATTTACATATAAAACAGGGAGACTCTAGACCAGCTTCTATAGTCTCTGCTCAAGTTTCTTTGTTGCTTTTATTCCTCCCAGATTATCTTCCTTTGTCATTAGTGAGACTTGGATACCACCAGTAGAAGTTCTATTGGAAAATCATGGATTTATTTATGGTTAAATTAAAAATTTTATATTTCTGAAAATGCTAGTCAACAGTGCAAATGTTATTTATTGCAAAGTTGTTTTTTTAAAAATATTTTTCACTACAAACTTTTACACATTTTTAAATAAAATCTTAAGGAAGTAGCTGACTTACTGATAAGATCCTTCTTGAGAAGAAACTTTCAATTGGAAAAACTATATGTATTATTTTCAATTATTAAATACAATTTAGCTAGGAGAATGTGAAGTATCTGAAGTGAAAGACAACATGTTAAATTTTCATTTTCAATGGAAGGCTAATTAAAAAATAAGTACCTGGATTTAACATTAACCTTCTTTTAAAAACCAAAGAGGATTTTTATATCACTTTATAGCATTTAACAGACAAGAGATATATGAATTTATACATTTAAATATCTTGTATTTTTCTTGAGTGGAAATTTGAACTAATATCAAAGAATGTCCTGAGTGTGTAAATATAATTAGTCTGGCTATTATGAATCAAATCCTTCATAATCCTCATACATACAAAGGCTGAAGGATGAGATCTGTTTGTCTATGTAACTCCTGAAATAGAGTTGATTTGCAATGGCTACGCTAATTTAGCTTATCTATAAAATGAGCACATATTACAAGTGCTGTTTTATTCTTCTAATATGCTGTGATTAATTTTATAACTAATTTAAAGCCTTAGACACTAATTGGTTCTTGTGGATGCACACACAGTACCCTGGCAAAAAGCACATTTCCACAAAGCCTTGGGGCAAGAAAATACACCAGATAAGCTCTCTCAATCTCTTATTTGATGAGCAACATGCATTGTAAAGGTTTAGCAAAGAATAAAAACCACATTTTTAAATGTACTGTCCAAATAAGGCTTCTGCAGAGGCATTAGGGCATAAATTTTAGTACAGCTTCACCTTTAAAAAGCAAGGTTAAAGCCAAGACAGATCCTGAGGTAGTTTTCTTCATTGGAGTGGCTGTGTAAGGGATCTGTGGCTCCTCTCCCCTCTCCTACCCATCATGTATTACATTGTTACTGACTTTAATTAATTCTATGCAGTAAATAACACAATCCACGAAGATGACAAGCCATAGAATTAACACTACAAGGCAAAAATGCTGCTTGAGCAGAAGCAAGGATTTTATCATGTAAATATGCAAATATCTACCTATATACTGATATTGCAGTTTCAAGTGTGTTGACACCTATGGACTAAAGGAGATAACTTTTGTATGGTTGAATTCAGTCAACTGTATTGAATTGCAGCACAGCTTTGCAAAATGCCTCAGGAAGGTTCTATGTTTAACCACAATCTGAATGTGTCTGAAATGCCTGCAATTTTCTTGAGGTAGTAAATGAAATAAAGCCTTTCAAAAAAACTTAACACAATTCAAAGTAGATGATATAAATTCGTTGTTTTGAAGATGAGTAGTGTCAGTATTTTATTTGGCAGCATTTTTTGTTGGGAAGTGCTATTTTCATTGCATATAAGTAATTGTCTGAACATTTGCATTTGTTTTTTACAGCCAGTGTAGGTTACTACTAAAATACAGTGTCTCTGACAGGTTTATAATTTTGCTGACACAGGTTGGCAGATAGATGAGCATCTCACATGGAATATAAACATAAATTTCAATGAATAAATAGAACAGGGTCTGTTAGCACAGTCATCAAAAGAGAAAAGCCTCATAAGAAAATAACAGAAGGCTTTTGACCCTTTAAATTATAGCTCACTAGCTCTCTGCTACAATGAACCAAGCTCCCAGGCATGTTGGTACTCTGACTCCCCTCTGGCATCTCCTTGTATGCTGTTCACATCAAAATCCCCATGGAAAGTCACATGCTCCCAAAATTAAGTAGCTAATAGACTACTCAAATAATCCAGGTTCTGGGTCAAAGAACGTCTGTATGTTTGAAAGTCTGTAGTCTGCAAGATTCAGGACTGAGCATCTTTAGAAAACTGTAGGAAAAATGAAGGCATATTTGAATATTTCTGACTGTTTTCTGTTTAGCTTTTGCCTTTGTAAGGTAAAGCTCAAAGGAATTACAGTAAGGAGTTCAAATGAAATAAAAGCAGGGAAGTGCTGTAAATATTATTAATTAGCACTCATTTTCTTAGAAATATTTTTCAGGCATTGTCCTACTCACTTTGCAGGGTGGATCCTGGGTACTGACTACCAGATGATCTGCTGGTGTGACTTTAATGAGTGAGAAATGCTGCCTCACTGCTTAACTTTTCACACATCTTTTTCAGTACCTCCAGGGATGGTGACTCCCCACTTCCTGGGCCAGCCTGCTTCAATGCTTGACAACCTTTTCTGTGAAGAAATTGTTCCTGCTGTCTGGAGGTGTGTCTACAGCTGCTTGTAAATGCAAGAGTCTTAATTTCAGGTCTGAATTTGAAACTCTCACTTCTTTGGGGAGGTAATTACCCTAATATAGGGTTATAGATTGGGTTTTTTATTTGTCAGGAGCTGGTGCTTGATTCCTATCTAGATCTTGGCTGGTTTCAGGACACTGAGACTGTTACTACCCCACTTATGACATTCACTTATGACATTGGGATTGTTACCCAAAATTTACAGGCATCCTTTCAGACAGCTGGGATGTGTGGCTGTAAACACACCTGAGCTAACGTAAAGCTGCCTCATTACAGCCCTGCAATGAATGAACCCATCAAATGTGGAATTGAGTGTGCTGTGTTCCTGACTTTCAACAACACTGCCTTCCTGCCTTGGAGCAGACTCCCCAGCTGAGCTGTTGAAATTAGAAGTAGTTAAAACATGTTCACTAATATTACAGACATTACTCCTTTTACAACCTGTTTTTACTTTCCTGACTTGACTTTGACAGTCCCTTTACTGCTTGTACTGTTCCTCCTAATTGTCATTTTCATACCTGTTATTTATATTACTCCCTTTACTGTCTTTGAACCTTCGGTGAAAGACTCTGTTGTCAGAACAGCAAACCTGGGAACTACCATAACAAAAGACCTTTTGTGAATCAGCTAGTTTCAGTTATTTACAGTAAGGTGCTTTGATGTAGAGGAAAGATGTGTGGCATTTTTTTAAACAGAAGTTAATTATAATTCTTAATGTTTGTAATTGTTTCAGAGACTATTGTTGGAATTTTCACAATGGATTTAATAATGTATGTGGAAAAGCCTTGTTTGTATTTTAAACAATTTCTACCTCTCAGAAGGAAATTTTTAAAGTGCTAGATACTTGATTTCTTTATGCAGGGTTGTGGGGTTGTTTGTTTACACATTTTTCATCTGAGTTACTGTAATTTTGCCTCTGGCTGTTATTTTTCATTAGTACTTTGGTTTTTCATTATTGACAGATATTTTTGAAAAATACTGCATATATATGTTATGTTTCTTAACAAGGGTATCTTTGGTAGATAAGGCACAGTGGATGAGAGTGTTCTTAGAGAAAATTGGAAGGAGCAGGGATTTTGATAATTAACCTAAAAGCTGAAAACATGTCTGCAAACAATTGAAAAAAAACCCCAACTGTTATATAACATTGTCTACCAGGGAGAATTGAATTTTTTTTCCATTAACAGCAACTCTGTTCTGATATCTTAGCTTTTTTTCCCTAACTATATATCTTAGCACACAGACCTTTGTTCTCATTTACATTCAGTGTCTACACTGATTTTTTTACTCTTGTAAACTTTTACCTCTTCTTCCTATTCTTTAAATTTTATCCCAGTTAATAATAGCAAATTAGCTCTAGGCAAAAAATAAGCTCTGGAGGAGAGAAGAAAAAACTGTACTACACAATAAATTAATTAAAGTAAACTTTAAGTTATCTTATAGGACAGACCACTTCTTTAAGGGGAATAGGTCATATTGAGCATCTTACTTGGCTTTTAGCAGAATTTGTAGTGATGTGTGTGAGATTTTTAAGTGTGTGCTACTTGGAATAAAGTACATTGTGACTCCTGCTGTCATTTCCTGGCCTTTTGTGTGTGATGTTTGCAATTGCTTCATTATGATTTTTGTGTGTATTAAAATAGAACCTGATGTAGAGCTGATGTAAGTGTAGTTGCAGAGTTCTACTCATTCATCTCTAGTATAAATTCAAATTCTCTTTGACTTTATGAAGAACACAATAAAATGTGTGCAGACTAAAAGCATATTGATAGGCTTCCCATTTAGAAAGGGGTTTGGTGGTGAATCCTGCAGTCTTCATTCAAACAAATCTTTTTGTTGAATTCAGTGTTAATGGCATTTGGGTGACATGTATGAGTGCTTTTAGTGTTTAAAATATCACCTATTTTCTTTTGTTCCTTTCATAGCTCTTCAAAACAGACATATCACAGGTTTGTATTTAATGTGAGATGTTTTTGTGGTCTTTTTGAAGAGTGAAATTTCTTTATTGTATAAACATCCTATTTCAAAATAGGTGCCCTGTCAGAGGCCATATGAAGAGGCAATAGATATGCAACTTAAAATCAAATCCAGTTTATCCAGAGTTCAAAGGCAATAGCAAAGAGATCAGATAGAGGAGAAAGGGAATGAATCTGTTGTACTTCCTGACTGAAGTTCTTCATAAAGTGTGCAAATTTCTAAGTGTTAAAACCAAAAAAGTCTTTGAAAGAAGACTCCACTAGTTTCCAGAATAGGCTAAATACTTCCAATCTCTGTAGTCTGCTGCCAGAAAGCAGTATTTGAACTCACTTGTTTCATTATTTTTGAGTTAACTTAATGTGACCTTCCCCTGTTTTTTTACTGAGCATCACTGCCTTGTCTGCTTGAAAGATTTCAAACACTTCTCCCATTTTTCATTGGCTCTGTATAATTAGGGCACTCTGTTTTTCTGTTCAGAATTTTAATTACACATCTTGTGTTCCTGATGATGGGGTGTTGTGTAGGTAACTTCTGTTTCAAAGAAAGAAATTTTCCTACCTTTAATGATTCTTAAGACTTTTTTTTTTTTTAGTTCCTATGATAAAGGACTCCAAAGTGTTGGTGTTTGACATGTATAAAAGAAAAATACATTGCTGTTCATAGCAACAACTTCCAGACCCAAAGTGGTCAAGTAGCAATCTGAATGTAGACAGTCATGTTACATTTCAGTAATAGGACAATAATAGGACACTTGGAATATTTTATGGTTCTTATACCCACAGATCTGCAGTAAGGTGAATAATGAGACAGGAGATGAAAGCCAAATTCTTCCAGAAGCTATATAAAGGCAATTACTGCATAATAGTTTTTCACTCTGGCATGGTTTAACCCTGAATGAGATCAAATCTGTGTTGTAACGTGTTTATTTGTGAATAAATAAACCCAAATACAGTGCTGCTTATGAGAGCTGTGAAAATCTAGAAGCTCAAAACCTAACCATAGTCGAATTTTACTTATTCCTTGCAAAGTTACTGCTTCCCTTGAATTTTTTTCCCATTAAGATTTTTGGAAAGCCATCTCTATACCCAATGGAAACTAGAAATTGGACTTCAGTGTGTTCTGGCAGGACAGATCTTTCACCCTCCCTGACTTATGCAAAAACACACATTACATCATTACTCTCCCCTGAGCTACTGCAGTTTGTAAGGAGAATAATTAGAGATTCACCGGGGAAAGGAACAAAGTGTTGCATATTTATTAGGACACTACCTGGCTCAAAAGACACAGTTGCCTTTCAACTGAAGCTTTTAGACTCCAACCTACCAGAAATAATGAAAACTATATCACTAAGTTGAGTTTTTCATTTAGCTTTCACTACACAATAAATGGGCAATTCCTGCCAAACCTACACATTTATTTCAGTGAGACAGAACCCCTTTCCACCTTTAAAAGAAGAATGTTATTTCCCAAAATTCTGATATATATTAAGAAATACAATTTCGTTTTGCATTTGGGATTTTATTTAGATAGAGAACAAGAGACTTATTTAAGGCTTTGGGGTAGGAATCTGCTCACCTGTGAGCAAAAACCCAAACACAAACATATGAAAATTATGTTATTCTCATCTACATGGTTCTGTTGAATTTGAAATGCTTCATAAAACCCAGGGTTTTTTTTTTTTGTTCCAGAATTTAATTTAAAATAAATAACAAGTCTTTGAAATTGTTGACATGGGACTTTATAATTTCCTTTAAAATTTGCTTTTAATTTCTTTTAATGGGTTTTCATTATAATAGAATTAAAAACTTCTTTTGTTTGTTTTTGGTTTTGTTTTTTTTCCATGATTGTATGTTGGGATGGGGAGCTCAGTAAATTTCAGTCTTAATGCTGATTTCATGACGCAAAATTTTAATCCTCTCATGCTTTTAAAATTCAGTGAATGAGCACTGGAACTGCCTCAGCCCTTTGTCAAACAAAAGTTTCATAGGCTGCTATTCTAATAGGCCATCTTGAAATGCTGCATTTTTCAACTCCTCTTTCATTACTCAATGCACTGACAGCAAGTTTTTATAAAAATCTTGAAATAATTAGCATAAATACTGATTTGTGAATTCTCCTGAGAAGTATTATCAAAATGATGAAGTGAGGCACAGTCAAAGTAAACTGGAGATTTAATGAGAAATGTTTGGCTTGATTCTTCTTTACTTCACTATAAATCACTAACAACTATTGTACTCTCTTAAAGCAAATTTAAATGCAATGGGAAGTAGCACTGCAACAGAATGCTTGTGCAAAAGAAAACATTCCTGGAAATGCAGATTTGTAGCAGTCATGCCAAAACAGTGGAAATACTTTGATTTACAAAATCTTTCTATATAATACACTCTCAATTATTTAAAAATACATTTAAATCTGATTCCATTTATTAGTAAGTTTCAAGCAGATGAAGCATTTTTTTCTAGAAACATTTTGGGAGATGTGCATTGTTCCACATGCTGTAATTCCACTGATTTACAGCTTCTGCAGCTCAAGAAGCATTTCTTGAAACTCCTCTGTTTTATTCATTGCAAAGGAGAAGGGTTTACAGTGCAATCTCACTTTTACAGCATAACTTATAAATGAAAGTAGTTATACAGTGAAAATGTATGGTGCCAGAGTCACTAACATATACTCAAATTTAAAGGATCAGATATTATGGCTTTACAGACATTGTGCTCCTAAAGTGTTTTTCACTTGAATGTGATCTAGACAGATTGAGAGATTAGGCAGCCATTTAAACCAAAAGAATTTCCTTTTGCCATATCAGAAATCCTCTATCTTTAATCACATGAATATTTGATTATTTTTTAAACTGTTTTATTCATAGATTATCACACAGGCCTGTTTTTATTTAAATTATTGCATATTGTTAATTCTTTCAGTCTGACACACCTAAACAAGAGTACTGTTAATATATAGCTTTTATGTAATGTTTTAGATTTAGTACCTACT